GTGTTCATCATGAAATCATCAAGATAGATGGCTAAGCTAGCTGTGTTCCACATGCATCCAGGAGTGTTCCCCCAGAACCTGAGGGTGCTAAAGATCAAGTCCACAAAGGGGACTGACCCAGCGAGGAGACAGCAAGAGTTTTTACTGTATCGGAGCAGTAAACATGGAGATGGGGCTAACTATGAAGATTAATGTCACAATAAGGATCTACATTGCAGACAACCTAGAAACAGTATCACAATGACTCTATACAAACACATCTAACACACTTGGGTAACAAGACTGCATACACAAGATGAGGTAAGCTTATTAACTGGGAAGTAAGAGAATCTGATCAAGCTGTGGCTTGATAAATTGCCCGCATGATCTCTGCCGTTTTTCATTAATCCTACTGAATAATTATTCCTCTTTACTCTATTTACTGTGATACAAAAAATTTTTTTTTTTTTTTTAAAAAAAAGGTAGTATCAGAGCTGTCTGAACAGCTTGAAAGTGTAAAGATCTCTATACATAACTCTATTTCTAGACAAAGGAGCACCTGCCTGTTTAGTCTTCCCAGAAGTATATCTTTTCAGTTCTGGTATCATCTTTATAAATCTGTGTTTCACCTTCTCTAGTGATTCTATATTCATTTCATAGAATCCCTACAGTGTGGAAACAGGCCCTTTGGCCCAACAAGTCCATACCAACCCTCAGAGCATCCCACCCAAACCCATTCTCCTATAACCCACCTAATCTACACTTCCCTGAATACTACAGGCAATTTCGCATGGCCAATTCACCTAGCCTGCACATCTTTGGACTGAGAGAGGAAACCAGAGCACCAGGAGGAAACCCACCCAGAGACGGGGAGAATATGCAAACTCCACACAGACAGTCGCCCGAGGGTGGAGTTGAACCAGGTCCCTGGCGCTGTGAGGCAGCAGTGCTAACCTCCTGTTATTTATCACATTGTTGATCATTAGTAATTTGAATGTGGTGACTAGATAAATGAAAGAAAAGAACTCAATGCCTAATAACCATTTGAGGTACCTAGAGTTGCTGTGAAATAAAGGGGAGTACGATTTCTTCATAATTTTGGAAATTAGGTTTCTGTTCAATTAGCACTAAATTTCAGCATTATTTCAGATAAGCTGACACCAAGGTTATTGAATGCAAGTTATTCAGAATGTAAAGCAGGATTGTGCATTTGTACATCATGGGATATACTAGGGGTCAATGATAGCAGTTTAATTTTTCAAAATACACACCAGAAAGGATGTGCTTTTTTCAGTATTCACAACAGATTGAAACCCTGCTCCAGTTTTTGAACATGCTGGCAATGCAATTGCCATATAACCAAATGCCTCGTTCTTCCAAAAAAGTTGATCATCCACTCTGTTTCTCAACATACAACCATCAGCTTATATATAAGGTCTCCTTATGTTGCAGTCATCCAAATCTTGGAATTAATATTTCACTCTCCTACTTAATCTTTCAAATGTATCAGTAGAAAACCAGACAGAATGCAACAAATTTTCACTCGTCAGTCATCTATTGTACAAGTTAACACCACGTCCTTAGAATGTGCATATCTCCAGGCAGAAAATTATAAAAATGCACATATCTCGTTAATTGCCACATCATACAGTAGGCAGTCATTCTCCATTTCTTTCAAGTTCTTCTAACCCACGCTCCAAAATTATCTACATTAGATTGTCATTTAACATTTGAAAACCTAACTAGAATTCTATGTTTCTAAATACTTAGTCTCCTCCACACATTTTATATCATCCTGTCAGCAGAAAATACAGAAATGTTCCTATTAATCTCCTTTTCCAGGTTACTTGCACATTAACTTTTGAAGTTGACAGATTCCTATAGTTGGTCTGTTTTTTGTGACTTTTACGATGTGAGTCCACGTTTCCAAACCTCTAAAATCTAATACTTGGTTCTAAACAGCACCTAACAGCACAATGATGTGTAGCTTGGAGGGGAACTTGCAGACGGTATTATTCCCATTCATCTGACCTTGTCCTTCCAGATGTAAGCGGTAATAGGTTTGAGTGGTGCTGTCTAAAGAATCTTGGTGAGTTGTTGCATTGCATCTTATAGATGGTACACACTGCTACAACTGTGGGTCCATGGTGGAGGAAGTTAAGTGTTGAAGACGCTAGATCGAGCGATAATCAAACAGGGTGTTTCTTTTCCTGGATGGTGAAGAAATGAGTGTTTGCTGGAGCTGCAATCATCCACAGAAAGTCCCTTGGAGGGGTGAGAAAGTGGTACTGGCTCAGAATTCTCAGCCTCTGACCTGCTCTTGTATTCACAGTATGTATATGGTTATTTCCAGTTCAGTTTCTGGTCAATGGTAAAACCCAGAATGCAGACTATCTTGACAGACTATAATTTTTATTTTTGCAATTGTTTACCATAATGGTCTATCACTGAATAGTCACAAGAGGCTGCCAAATGTATTTTTGACAAAACAGCAAAGTTCATTACACCTAAAAAAGAAAAACAAAGTACTAATTCATTCCATTCCATACAAGAACTAGTTGAAATAGTCTTATAAAAATAATCACAAATAAAAAGATTCTTATTATGCTAAACAACAATCTTACAGATTCTCAGACTTCAGTGAAGGGTCAGTCTGCTCCACTTTCAACTACCTTCTTCAGTGGCACACTTGTACAAGCCATTTAAAAACAAAATGGATTTTATGATTGGATGAGATTAGGAGCCCGCTGTACAGATGGACAGAATGGTCTTCCTCATCCATAACGTCCTTGTAGTTTTTAGTCAACTTGGTGCAGTCGGTTCATGGTGTAGAATGTTGTGTTCAAATCTAAAGTCTCACCATTGATAAACATACCTCCCTTGATAAGCTGCTCCAAAAGTAGCCTTCAAGTAAATTCAGAGAACGAATTCAATGATACAAAGATAAAAAAAGAAATAAGAGTAGGCCACTCAGCCCTTTCAGCCTACTCCACCATTCAATAAGATCATGGCTGATCTGATTTTAACCTCAGCTCTACATTCCTGCATATCCTCAACAATCTTTCATCCCCGTGGGAATCAATAGTCTATTTACCTCTGCCTTAAAAATACTTAAAGATTCTGCAGTTGCTCCCTGTTGAGGAAGGGAATTCCGAAAACACCGAGCCCTCAAAGAAATGTTTCCTCAAAATGTCTTAAATGGTTGACCCCTTTTTTTAAGCTATAACTCCTTGGTCTAGATTCTCCCACAACCGGAAATTCCTTTCAAAATCTACCTGGTCATATCCCCTCAGGTTTTTGTATGTTTCAATTAAGTCACCTCTGACTCTTTTCATCTCAACAATACAGGGCTAGCCTGTTTAGCCTTCCTCAAAAGGCAAATTGCTCACTCCAGGTACAGTATTAGTCCAGTAAACCTTTCCTGAACAGCTTTCAGCATGTTAATATCCTTCTGCAAATACATTGATCAGTACTGTACACAATGGTCCAGATATATTCTTACCAACGTCTCAAATAGCTGAAGCATAACCTCCCTATTAGTGCATTCAATTCCCCTTACAATAGGACATGACATTCTGTTGACTTTCATAATTACTTGCTTTACCTGCATACTAAAAGTCTGTGATTCATACATTCTGCATCTCAGAGCTCTTCAACATCATTTAGAGAGAATGAAAAAGATGTGCACTTTCTGCTAAAAACTGACAATTTCACAATTTGCCACATTGTACTCCATTTGCCAGATTCATGCCCATTCACGTAACCTATCACAGTCCCTTTAACAACTCATATCCTTTACACAACTTACTTTTCCACCTATCTTTATGTCACCAGCAAATTTAACTACCATACCTTCAGTCCTGTCTTCCAAACTATTTCTATAAATTGTGAAGAGTTGAGGCCCCAGCACTGACCCCTGTGGCATACCACTTATGAAATCCTGTCAGCCTGAAAAAACCTATTTAGTCCCACTGGCTGGCTAGCAGGATGCAGACAATCTTCTATCAATGCCAATATGCTATCCAGATTGAACATCCCTCACAAAGGAGACAAAGTTTTAATACAATCTGGTGCTACAAAGTGTCACTGGTGTCAGGATGGTTGCTGAAAAGTCTGTGGGATCTGTTTGGATCGCATCTGCTGAATGATGTTCATTGTGGAGTGTTTGTTATCTCATGCTTACCTCATGTTAATTCTGCATATTACAGTATAATTTGTATAATATGCACTCTTCTGTTTTTCTTTTTAAACCTTGCATATTAAAACTCTTCACCAGTAAAGTAACTTTATTTTCCAAGTAACTGAGGTTCCAAGCCTTATGTACTTTGAACAAGAAAAACAATTATTGGTCTCTAACTGAATTAGAAATTAATTTGGCGGGCACCTCAATGATATTAAAAAGAAGTAACCTTGCCGGCGATCATAATATTGGGAAGTGAGGCAGCCAGGTTGACTACAGCAAATGACGTTTCCATAAAATAAAAATAAGGTAAATAATCATTATGATTTATTTTGTGTATGTTGGTTGAAGGATAACTACTGGTCAGGGCAGTGGACAACCTTTCTTTTACTCCTTGAAAATTGCCATAGGATCATTTAGATTTGTTTGAGACAGTAGACAAGATCCATGTTCATTACTTCAGCCAAAGATGGGACCATCAGCAGCACTTTGTAGAACACTGCACCAAAATGTCAGTCGAGATTAAGTGCTTAAGCCTCTGAAATGATATCTGAAATTACGGACTCAGATGCAAGGAACATAATACCAGCATCAAATCTTTCCTCAAGTCAAAGATAATATTTGCTGCACCTATTGATACTGGTAAGTATTTATTCCAAATAATGATATTTTAAAGTTGCAACATTTGATTATTGATCAGAATGTCACAGACCAAGTAATAACAAAATCAAATTCACAGTTTCAGCATCCAAAAAGTACCTAGTGAAAACCAACAGTATAGGACAAACATCCATGCCTTGTTTATCATCCCATATGAAGCATTCAAAATAGAACTACTAACCAAAAATATTCTTTCTAATTGATCCTGAACATCCTTCATTCCTGGAAAAGCAGCAACTCCTTGAATCATTTCGACAAAAATGCAACCCACACCCCTGGAAAAAGAACAAAGTATTATTACTTGATCATTTATTTAAAATTTCTAAATTGCTGAAACTTGAACACTGTAGTTGGCAGAAAGTAATGACAAAATGTGACATTTTAAATAGTCGAACCACTTTTATTTAAGGCCACAAGAGCAGAATTAAGTACAAATGTACCCCCTTGCTACCCAATAATATAATAATTTATTAAAAAATTAACATATCACATTCTCACGTTTTTAACTGAAAGTCAAGAAGAAAAATAATTATTGTAATTTGTACTTAGCAATGTGTGCAGGGTAAACCATTAAGAACCCCCTTGAGTAGTTACAAAGCACAAAACAGATTATTGGAGTTAAAATCTGCCTAATCTTGAATGAAGGGGGATCTATTGACCAAATTACCACACATCATTTACTTTTATTAGAACAATGTTAGGCAAAGGCCGAAAACATAAATCTTAATCAGTATTCAAAACCGTAATTCACACTTCCTCTATTAGGGAGCAGTGACTGAGTTTGGAATAGTTCCATCAGTCGTCTTTGCCACTAAAAAATATCTGTAGCACCACAGGTTTGAAAGCTGAGCAAGGCTGGGTGAATGTGCAAGAAACTGAAAAGTATTTTTATCACATATAATCCAGTTTTTAAATCATGGCAGCTCTTATTGCAGCAGACCACAGAAGTAGGGCACAGATTTAGAACCTCAGTTGTTTACATGGTGACTTCTTTAAACCAGTCAGGCTCAGAAAATGCAGAATATTCTACAGAGAAGGAGGGAGAAGAAAAGTCAACGTACAAGTCTCCTTTGGTCACTTGTACCCGTTCCCAAACAGTTGCACAGCAGTACGGATAACCATAGGTATGTTTGAGAAAGTGGGTTACGAGAAAATTGTTTGCAAACCACAAGATTAAAAATAACTGGTAATTTATGTTACAGGTTAAAAGGGTAAATATATGTAAATACCAAGATGCTGCAGTAATTTTCCTCTATTATGCAAAGTTGATCCCCACGTTCAAAGTACAAGATGGGGTTTTGGGGAAGAAAGAAACAGACATTGGGGAGGTGATGGCCAATGGTATTGTCGCTGGACTGTTAATCCAGCAATCCAGGTAATGTTCTAGGGTCGAAGGTTCGAATCACTGCCATGGCAGATGGTCGAATTTGAATTCAATTTTAAAAATCTGCAATAAGAGTCTACTGATGACCGTGAATCCATTGTTGATTGTCAGGATAAACCCATCTGTTTCACTAATGTCCCTCAGGAAAGGAAAATGCCATCCTTACCTGGCCTGGCCTACATATGACTCCAGACCCAGGGCAATGTGATTGACTCAGAACTGCCCTCTGACGGGCAATAAATGCTGGCCTAGACTGCAATACCCTCACCCATGAATGAGCATGAAACATAGCGAAGCTATGGTAGCTACTGCTGACTGTCTTCCAGATTCTATATTTATTCTTTCATCCAAAAACTTACTCTTCTCCCTGCAGCAGGAACAAGAGGAGCAGCAAAGGCTTCCTGCAAGGCATGCTGCTGGCAAAGTCACACTAATTTTTAATATGCAATAGTCACATGCCCTTAGCATTTAGTCTTCAGCTTGAGGCCTGTTCAAACTTACTTAATGATTACTAACATTTTCAAACACTCACAGTACTTTTTACAAACTGTTCTAAACTTTTACACATCTTTAACAGGCACCTACCAATCTGAGATAACAAGGTGCAGAGCTGGATGAACACAGCAGGTCAAGCAGCAGAGGAGCAGGAAAGCTGACGTTTCGGGCCAAGACCCTTCTTCAGAATTGACCATCAGCACATTGCACTTGTCACTGACCAAAAGCTTAACTGAACAAGCCAATTCCACAGCACTGATACAACAACATAGGCATTTTGCAAAAGAATGGTTCACTGCCTTAAAGTCTTCATGATCTAAGAGGCATACATCAGTAGTGCAGTGAAGCATTTACCACTTAGCTGACTGGATGCAACTGGCAAAAACAAAATTATGAAGCTCAACACAAAGCAGAGCAGTTTGCTCAGGGCAATGGGGAGTGGAAAATCAATGTGGCACAACTGGTGCCACCTACCTCCTGACAGCTTGTTAAAAGAATTCCTTTGAACTCTGAACTAAGACTAAGGCTATCAAAATGAGTCTTAATGAGTGGAAAATTCAAGTGAACAGCTGAAGAATGTGAAGAATGGAGTCACACGATGGTACTAAAAGGGGGCTGGAGAAACACTGCAGTCCACCAGCATTTGTGAAGAGACAATGTTAACATTTTGATCTGACATAACTTTTCCGGCATGTTCTGTTGTTATTTCAGATCGCCAGCATCCAGAGTACTTTGCTTTTGTTTAAGCAATGGGATTGGCCTTAAAGGCTTTGCTCATAAACTGTGACAGAATAAGATGAATACCAATAAGTTTTCCTATACTAAGCCATAACAGCTACTTTAGACAAAATAAGAAGGGCATTCATAAAAAGGGGCATCACCGTGGCTCAGTGGTTAGCACTGCTGTGTGAAGTGCTGGGGACCCAGGTTTGATTCCACCATCAGGTGACTGTTTGCGTGGATCGTGCACATTGTGTGTCTGCGTGGGTTTCCTCTGGGTGCTCCGGTTTCTTCCCACAGTCCAAAGATGTGCAGGTTAGGTGGATTGGCCATGCTAAACTGCCCATAACGTTGGGGACTGTATAGGTTAGGTGGATTAGCCATGGGAAATGCAGGGTTACAGGGACAGGACAGGGAGGTGGGTCTGGGTGGGATGTTCTTCAGTAGGCTGGTGGGGTGTTGATGAGCAAAATAGCGCACTTTCAAACTGTAGGGATTCTATGATTCATCCAGATTATATCAGTAATCAGATTCTTCACTATAGAGAACTTGCATTTTGGAGACCTGTAACCTCATTGAAAATACATCTATAAGGTGTTCCATTGTCCAATTCGAAATAGTCTTAGCATTTCAATTCATTTCTAAAACTAGTTCTCTCCTTGGTAAATGTTTGCTATAGAGACTCTGTGGCTTTGATATGGTCTGAAAATTGCACATAGCATTAGGACAACAGTCTATTAAGACATCAATAGCTCTTTGTTCTTAAAATCCACAATGTTATTTCTGACCACAAGGAGTTGTTATATGTTCCTGCACTTGTACTTTCAGGGAATTACACGTTTCAGCCTTAAGGTCTCAGTTGATTTATATCCTTTAGCGCCTTTTCAATTAATGCATACTTTTATTCTTTGATTTCACAACTGCACCTTTTGTTTTACACGTCATTGGTGGATATATGGTTAACCCTTACATTGCTGAATGTTCATTAAATCTCGAATCATAGAATTCCTACAGTGTAGATAGAGGCCATTTGGCCCATTGAGTCTGTACTGACCCTCCAAAGAGCATTCCCCCAATCCACCTAACCTGCACATCTCAGAACTGTGGGTGCGCCCAGCAGAAACCCACGCAGTCACAGGGAGAACCTGTCTTTCTAGGCAGTCACCCGAGGCTAGAATCGAACCCAGGTCCCTGGCACATGATGCAGCAACACTAAAGATTGGGCTACTATGCCAGCCTTCTGTGGCCAGTTATTGATTTTAAAACATGCCCCTAACTGCTGCAAGACAGTGGTTTTTACGGTTGTGCATGATCCTCCTTTCCATTCTTGAAGCTATGTTTTACATTGAGATCCTTCCTGTCTGCAAGAGTCACGTGCACATCGAGGAAGAACTGAAACATTGCAATCAGTGTGTCAGCTATATTATGATTCTTTCCACATCGTTAATTCTCATTGCTTTGTATGAATGTTTTAAGTTCCAGTTTTAATTTACATATCTCAACCTTTGGATGTACTTCCTTCGTACGTGAAACACAGCGAAACCTAAAAATTACTGACACCTATGGTATCATTTATTTGGCGTCCTTATTTTCGAGGAGACAATCATTTGGGGATTAAAGGAGTGAACCAAATATTCCAGCATTGGTAGGATCTCCTGCAGTGTGCTCCTTTCTTTCCCACTCTAGCCTGGAATCATGATTAATTCTGGCAGCCTGCCATCAGGATGCAATTTTAGTTCATTTGCCGGTTGTTTGGTTTCCCAGGCCCTCGCCTGCCAGATCTCTCTGTCGAGGGGGTGATGTCTGGTTCTTATGTTGGCAAACTCGACAGGGTCAAGTGGTTGCTGCAGAGCTGGACTGTCTAGCAGTCTCCAGACAAATTGCAGGTCAAATAATGTATCACAGACATGTGCCTGGCATCACTGCCTGCAACTATTAACGTCTGAAATGCTAGGGAGTGGGTAGGGATCTCTTGGTACATTATCAGCGTTCAGTAGCAGAATTCCCAACTCCAGGGTGAGGCTTTCCTGAAGGTTAGATCATCATATGCTGACAAATGTTATTGGATAAACCTTATAAAGATTGGGTTCCCACAGTGCCCAGTCTTTATGTGTGGCTTTCCATTACTAATAATATCCCTATGTTTCTCCGTTCCAGTAGTCCCTCGATTGCCTAGTATTTTCAAAATGTTTCTTGCGAAGATATATACAAAATATCTATTCAGTACCTCTGCCATTAGAACTCTACATTACAATTTCACTCGCCTGATTAAAACAAATGTGTTTTAAAGTGAGCCAATCTCTTTCTTATTACTTGCCTCTCATTATCTTTTGCTAGCTTAGTTTCATATTTTCTGTACTACGACAGGCAAAGCAGGTTAACGCACAGGCTCATGACAGGCAGAGAGTTAATAACAACACAAGCCATAGTGACGTGGTAAGCAGTCAGCATGGGAATTTTCAAACCATCAAACATCTGTAAACATTCCAAATTAGTGTCATGTCCAAGCTGTTTGGTGGATTTCATATTCTTGCATCGTCAATTTATATAATTATAAAACAAAAAAAAAGGGAGATTCCGGGTCTGTTGCACAGCAGGATTCGGACCAGGAAAATGACAAAATTATACAAAATAAATTTTACAAACTTAAAAAGGTATGCTACAACAGCACTCACT